GGGACAGTCCTCATTTTATCCTGATGGAGGAGACAAGGAGACTGCAAACACTGGAACATTCTTTAAAAGGTTCACAGATGGGGCTGGAGAGATGGCTCAGCGGTTAAGAACACTGGTTGTTCTTGCAGAAAACCCAGGTTCAAATCCCAGCACCCACATGGCAGCTAACAACTGTCCGGTAACTCCAGTTCCAGGGGATCCAATGGCCTCTTCTGTCTTCCGAGGGCATTGCATGACACGGGTGCACTTACCTACATGTAGGCAATACACTCATACATATAAAAATAATTAAAAAAAAAGATTTAATTAAAAGGTTCACAGATGAAAAGTCTAGTATTTCTGATTGATAGAGATAATATCGGGGATAAAGATTCCCCAAAGGAGAAAGAATCAGAGAAAGGGAGGGCAGAGGGGGAATGGGAAGATGTGGAATGTCTAGATTGCTTCTGTGAGAAAGTCTGGCAAACAAATTTAAAGATTTAGACTGAGATGACACACAGAAGCCTGAGTGTTATAGACAATTCAGGAAGTCAGTCCTTCCAGATCAGAGTCAAAAAATCTTGCTGTTGTTTCTCACTGAAATAGTGAAGAGGAAGAACAAGGCCAAGTTTTATTGAAAGGCAATAGAGAAAGTGATGTGTTCAGAGAAGAAAAAAGTATAAATTGGAAGAGACTGGATATGGAGTGGAAAATAAAGTGGGGCTGGAGAGACGGCTCAGTGGATAAGAGCACTGGCTCCCAGTGGCAGCAAACAATTGTCCATAACTCCAGTTCCAGGAGATCCAACACCCTCTTCTGACCTCTGTGGGCACTGCACGACACAGATGCACTTACATACATGCAGGCAATACACTCGTACGTATAAAAATAAAAATTAAAAAAAGGAAAAGCACAGAAGATATATAAAGACTCTTAAATCTTCCCCTTATCTACTTATACCATCTAGTTTCTCTTTTATCCTTCCAGGGCTATTTTTTCCATTAATAAATATGAGTTAATGCCCACATATTTTCCAAAAAAGGCTGTGTGCTATACTTTT